ATGCAGTTCCTACTGAACAGATGTCCCCATGACAGACAGGGCCGGCTCCAGGGTTTTGGCCGCCCCAAGCAGCCAAACAAACCAACCAAAAAAAAAAGCCGCGATCGCGATCTGCAGCGGCAATTCGGCGGGAGGTCCTTCGCTCCGAGCAGGAGTGAGGGACCGTCCGCCGAATTGCCGCCGAACAGCTGGATGTGCCGCCCCTCTCCGAAGTGACCGCCCCAAGCACCTGCTTGGTAAGCTGGTGCCTGGAGCCGGCCCTGATTACAGAGCCGCCACAAGTGCTTCTCTCTTTAGCGGTTTCACCAGAGAAGCCATAGACTATATAGAGTGGTGCGTCAAGGAAGCTTGCAATGCTGCCACTGCACCTGTTTCTGTGATTGAGCAGAACACTTCAACCTGCTGGGCTGTTTAAATAGGGCAGCATCTTCCACTGCCATGAAACTGAATATTTCTGAGTGTTGTAGCCATGTCAGTCCCAGGATATTAGACAGACAAGGTGGGTGAGGTAATATCTTTTATTGGATGAACTTCAGGTCACCTGAAGAAGAGCTCTGTGAAGCTTGAAAGCTTGTCTCTCGCCAACAGAAGTTCGCTCAATAAAAGATATTGCTTCACCCACCTGGTCTCTCTATTTCTGAAAGAAGCGTATAACCCAGGAATCACAAAACTAATGGCATGTACTGGTCAGAGACTGATTCAAATACAGAAGGGAGCCCTTGCCCACCAGGGATGTCCGAGGGTAATGCCATGGTGAGAAACCTAGTCTGCTCCTGAGCTGCTGGGATTCCAACCAAGGCTCTCTCATCAGTCACTAGCTAGTAAGTGCAAAAGATCTTAAGCCATCCCAGCCTAGGAACAGCTCCATACTGGAATAGCCCTGAGGTCCAAATAGTCCAGCTCCCTTTTTCTGACAGTGACCAGTAGCGGCTGCTTCAGAGGAAGGCGCACAAACCCTGCAGTAGGCAGATGTGGAGTAATCTGCCCCACACGTTAGACCTCATCCTGGCCTCTAACAGTTAGAGGTTGGCTTAAGCTGTTTAACATCTCTTCCAAAATGTATAATTAATTATGATTACTCTGGATAGTCTTAATATTCATAAGCGTACAATCCCTTTTTGAAACTTGCTAAATTCTTGGCCTCAAATCTGGGTGCTGAAAGGGAGAAACCAGCTCTACTTTATCCACTCCCCATCACTGCAGAACTTCCTAGCTACGGTGTGTGTAGTCTGCTTTTGTTCCTTTATCCCAGCTTCTGCGTTCAGAGCCATGTCCCCCCCCCCAACCCCCTCACTCCGGTGAAGTTTTAGACTGTTTCTCCGGTACTGCCAATAGTTTTTACAAACTTGTTAATTTCGCTACTAAGCGCAAGGTGATGGGAGTGCAGGTGAACAGCCTTGTCAATTTCACTCTGCCACTGATAGCTAAGCTGGTTCTTTCAAACACTGGTACAGGTTCCTTCATTTAAAAAATAAATAAGTCCACCAAGCAATGATTTATGTTTTCTGATAATCTTGTAACATACTGGGTGCAATGAGAAATTATTCAGAAGTACAATGGGGTGTCTTTAGCCCTAAACAAGAAGTCGTTCAATTCTAAAATGTTTAGTGGGACAATCTTCAGTGCTAAAATGAACCTGCCAATAAGTCCTTAACAGTAGTTGGTGGTGGAGACTTGTAGAAGTACTTGTTTTTTTAATTAAGTTATTTCCACCTCTTCTCAAACATTTCATACTGGGATCTCATGCAATTAGATACCAGAGATGGCCTTTACATACCGGACCAGTGGAAATCAGAATTCTGAGCAAGTCAGTCAGTTAGCAAGTCTCCACTTTAATACCAATGCAAAATTTATTGCTGGATCCCTAGAGGTCCTGGGGGGTCACCCATAACACACAGAAAGCACCCCTAAGCAAAGAAAATGAAAGCACTGTAAACGTGAGACAGGCACAAATGAGAGGAAGATAGAGTGCTCGTGTCTGAGAGAACGCATCTTTCCAGCTGCAGAGAAACCTGGGCAAACACGTTCAAGTGTTCTGCACTGTGCAGCTGGAGAGTAAGGATAGGAAATGAGCCTTGCTTATCAAAACAATTCAGTATGAGGCTGTATGATGGGCTCACAAAATGAAAGGCAGGTTTGGAATTGTCTGATGAGAGACCAGGAACTGTCATTGCAAGCCAAACCCCTTTCCCTACCACCTTCCACTTCAGAAACTCAAAGCCACCAGCAAGTTTTACTTTACACATTTAAGCAAACATCAAACCACGGCGGCCTGTATTCCTGGGTCTACAGAAACTCTCTTGGGTGTCTTACTGTGCTATAGCCATCATTTCAGTTGTTTTTGTTTATATAATCACACCTGAGTTTTGGGGTTAAAAAAGTGTCTTTTCCACTTCCAGTCGCTATAGAAATAAACCCATGCACTGTATGCAAACAAAGCATTTTTTTGATAGAGAAGCCAAGTGTGTTTGTACAGTACCTAGATTCTTCAGGCAAACAGTTGCCTAAGTGCAATTTTACCCAGAGAATGACCGTTATTAAATTTAATATGGAGCATAATCTGCAGCTTCATAGCATGAACTGTGTTGTACCAGGGCTTTGGAGCTGTGCTCCGGCTCCGCTCCAGCTCCAGCTAAAAACCTGCAGCTCCACTGCTCCGGAGCTGCTCTGCTCCAAAGCCTTGTATGTATACAAATATCCTATTTAAGATACGTTCCTGTCAGTCTCCAATATCATTAGCTCATCTAACTCTAAAGGTTTCCAAGACAGACCATTGACCAATGTTGGTCCAGAGAATGGGTTATTCACCTTATGCCAACACTTTGTTTCCAGCTTGTTGATCAGATTGAAAGACAGCTAAAAACACAGTAAATTATTTCTTTTTACTGTTCCAACATATTTAATTGCTATACCTGCCACAGGGATGTTATATGATCACAACTGGGAAGGAAGTTGGAGGGGAAGTATGCCACAAGACCATCCATCTAGTAAGATGTGGTCAACGCCATGAAAGTCTGAAGACATCTGCTCTAATCCAGGCCTTCCCCAAGTTCCACTGTCAAGTTTTGCAGTTTTACAATCACATATTTCTGCTTTTAAGGTGTGTTTCTCTACCTGTTCCTGTACTGAAGATCCACAAAAGTATCAGGGGAACTGGCTGATTGAAAAAAGTGGCAAGACAGGCTATCCAACGCACAAAATCCTGATCACCTTTAATGGGCTGCTTGTAGAATACGTAAACATTTTAAAAAGTAGTGATTTTAATCTGACCAGATCGTTCCAAATACTAGAGGATTTATTCTAGATGGGTATACAACGAAGTCAAAATAAAGAAGACAGACACTGCTAAACATAATTGTGCCTTTACCCCAATATGCCAAACAGTAGTGAAATGCTGTCAAATGTATGCCTGTACACAGTATTAATTTCAGGAGATCATAATAAGAGTCTCTTGAATGGGGGAGGGTAAGAGGAGATGTACATGTAATAACTAGGATTTCTGGTTCCAGGGATGACACAGCAGCTGCTGTTAAAAACATGTGATGCTGCTAAATGCAAAGAAAACACACAAGCATGTTAAAAGTCCATTTTAATTTTTAAAAACATAAGTCATTAAAGAATCCTTATACCATGATATAGAAATGTATGTAAATGAAGTCACATGTCTGAGTAAAATCTGTGAGTCAGAATAAGCAAGTTAAGGCCCCTTACTGTGATTAAAGTGCTTTGAGGCAGAAATACACCTCCTCTACATTCGGTAAATATACAAGTGCACACAGCAAGATCCATGCAAAAGTCAGGCACCGAATTCAAGTTTTAAGAAATAATAAATCTTATTTTGTCTTTAGCATATAAGCATAGGGATGTATGATCATTTAGGGGCAAGGAAAGGAAAACTATCCCTATTGTGTAAGAAACAATCACTGAAGCAACTACAATTCCTGCTCAGAGAAAACAAACAGCTCCTCATGGAATAACATGCGAGTCACTCTGCCCTACACCTGAGCGCTTAAGACTTGGGCTTACCCTCAGAGCACAGGGACATGGATGGACAGGTAACATTAAAAACAGCATCCTGGTGATCAATTCTCTGCAGCTCACTAACAGGTGGGGCAGCAAGCAAGGGGTTGGAGGCTCACAAGAGTCTAACCACTGCAACATGTCAGTGGGTGGGTCCTGTCCAGAATCATCAGCCGGGACCCCAGCAGGCAAGGACCAGCCTGGGGAGTGCCCACTCCTGCTCTCCAAGCTCAGGGGGACCACCACCGGAGCTGTCCTGTCCCAGTCGCCAGCCCCTGATGTTACATAACAGCCAGGTTTTCCTTACCCCCGCTCACAGCCCGCCAGGCACCAAGGCGGGTCTAAAGGGACAACGAGCCGCCCATCTTGGCCCCCCCCGTGTCACGCCTCAGAGCCTTGGGGGAGTTTAATCGCCACCCAGACACGGGCCCCCCCAGCTGCCGCCCCCCCGGCCCCCCCCCCCCCCCCGCTGCCTGCGGGCCCACATGCAGCTGTCTCTCCCCCCCACCCCCGGGCAGCTTACAAAGGGATGACATCATCGGGCAGGCGGACACCGGGGACCCCAAAACATGCAGCCCCGCCCCGGGGACAGGCGGAGCGCCCCAGTCCCGGCCCCCCCGGGGAGAGCAGGGCCCGGGTGCGGCTGCGGGGGGGGACTCCTGGAGCCCCCTGCGATGGGAAGTGCAGGGGATGCCGGTGGGTGGCCCCTCACATCCCCCTATGGGGGGGGCTAGGAGAAGCCGCGCCCCCCCTCACCCAGGGGGACCCCCCCCCGTTCGCCGCTGAGTTCCAGGGGGCCCAGGCTCTGGCGGGGGGGGGCGGGATAAGGGGCTCCCCCAGCCTGCAGGGCCCCCCCGGGGGTTAGACCCCTCCCCCCGGGGTGACAGCGCGGGCTGCCCAGGGCGGGCCCCCCCCCCGAGGACAGGCGTGAGGCGGCGGCAGCCCCCGCCCGGGTCGCCCCGGCCCCGCCCGCCCCTCACCAGCGGCTGCATCTCGGCGCGCACGGTGGGCACCTGGAACCGGTCTATCTCCTCCATCATGGTGCCGGGCAGGGCGGGGGCGGCCCGGGCGGGTCGCTCCGGGGCCGGGCTCGGGCGCCTCAGTGTCGCAGGGACGCGCCCGCCGCTCGCTGCTGCTGCTGCTGCCTCATCCCAGCCAGCCGCGCTGCCGGGGTGACTCAGCCGCTCCGCTTCCGGGTCCGGGACCCGCCGCCCCGCCTCCTCCTGCATTATTCATGAGACGCGGCCCGGCCGCCGTGCGTTATTCATGAGGGGGCGGGGGCAAATACTATAAATAATTCATGAGCCGGCCCGAGAGCCCGGATGGGAAGAACGCCCCGCCCCTCCCTCCGTTGGGGACTTCCCTTCCGGCGGGGTGGGACGTACCATTCTCTCCCCGCGGGGGGGAGTCCACATCCCATTCTGAATTTGGATTGGCAGAGAGGGACTTCCGGCCCGTTGCCATAGATACCAGTATCAACTTCCGGCAACTGGTTGCGAGCGGGGAAAGGAGCGAGCGAGCAGGAGTTGGAGACTTGGAGCCCGGGGGACTGTTGCCGCCATGCCGCCTAAGGTGCCCCACAAGAGCCATCAGGTAAGTGCCAGTCCACGGGGTAACCGCGTCACAGCATGACATCATCTCACCATCACACCACAGTATGACATCATTGCTCTGCCCCATGACGTCACTTCACCATCACACCACAGCAGGACATCCCTGCTCTGCCCCCTGACGTCACCTCACCATCACTCCACAGCATGACATCACTGCTCTGCCCCCCTGACGTCACCTCACCATCACACCACAGCATGACATCACTGCTCTGCCCCCCTGACGTCACATCACCATCACACCACAGCATGTCATCCCTGCTCTGCCCCATGACATCACCTCACCATCCCACCGCAGCAGGACATCACCTCACCATCGCACTGTAGCAGGACATCACCAGTCTATGCCATGACATTGGTATCTTGCATCACATGACATCACCGTGACATGCAGTTACACCATTTTATCACTATCTCATTGCAGCACATCATTACTTCTCACGATTAAATCTCAGAGCTACAGCCTAATATCTCAATTGTCATCAGACAAAGACTTTCTGGCTGCACACCATTAAGGTTATGTCTATGCTAACACTTGTGTCGCTATAACTTATATCGCTCAGGAGTATGAATAAACCACCCCCTGAGCAACATAAGTTACACCAACATAAGCGCCGGAGAGGTTCTCCCACCAACATAGCTACCACTGCTCATTGGGGGTGGATTAATTAAGTCAACAGGAGAGCTCTCTCCCATCACTTTAGAGTAGCTATAGTAGAGATCTTACAGCGGTGCAGCTGCATCAGTGTACTCTCTAGAGTAGATATAGCCCAAGTCACTGTGCTGAAGCATGACATCCTGCTCCATATATTTACATCAGCGCACTGCATCGTGACATCTGCGTGCCACAGAATGACACCGCCATGCCAGAGACAAGGCAGGTGAGAGAATAGATTTTATTAGACCAACTTCTGTTGGTAGAAAAGACAAGCTTTCCAGCTTTGCAGAGCTCTTCTCGAGGCCAGGGAAAGCTTGTCTTTTCTACCAACAAAAGTTGGTCCAATAAAAGATATTACCGCCTTGTCTCTCATATCCTGGGACTCGCATGGCTTTGTTCTTTGCAATCACTATTCCAGACTGTCACATCATGTTACTGTGCTATTACACTGCTGCATTATAGTGATGTATCATAGCACCATTTCATTCTCTTGCCATACTGCTTTATCACTGCACCATGCTGTTACAACGCAATGCGACATTATATGCCATGTAATTACATAACAGCACTGCATCATTAAAATTACCAGGCCACAGCCTACCATGATCATACTTTGCCATTACACCATTGAACAGTACAGCCTTACACTGCATTATTATATCACTGTGCCACAGCATGACATCACCATGCCGTGTTATGTCACTACACCATTACCTCATTGTGCAGCGACATAACATCAAAAGATAGTCCTGCAACATCACCAAGCTGTGCTATTGCATCACTGTCTCTCTTCATTACATCATCACGCCACACTGTTACAACCTTGTGCCACAGCATTACATAAGCATGCCTTTAAACATTCTTTTCAGCTCACCTTTAAAGTGCCCTTAAGGTACACCTAGTAATCGGAGTATTTTAGTGTAGTCAATTCAAGGGACATTATATTGACAGGTTAAAGAATCATATTTTAAAAAAAAACGTTTAATTTCGTGCTAATGTAATGCTGACAGACCCCAGTCGTCGATGGGTGGGATCAAATCAGGGACTGCTGGAGCCTAGTGCATGATCCTCTTCCGCATGAGCTAAAAGCCAACTGGCTGTTAGCAGACTCATTAATCTCTCTCTAAGTGGTCTTGGTGCCACTAGATGGGACAGAAGAGCACAACCAGAAGGTGTGTGGGTTACATACTTCCCCTAGCTGAGGAAGTGCATTCCAAGCTTCAGAGTCTTCCCAGTTGAAATCCCGGATGAGCCCCCACTTATAACACCGACAGACACTGGTCGTCGGTGGGTGGGATCGAACTGGGGACCTCTGGAGCTTAGTGCAGCGCATGAGCTGAAAGCCAACTGGCTGTTAGCTAGGGTGACCAGACAGCAACGGTGAAAAATCAGGACAGGGTGTGGGGGATAATAGGAGCCTATATAAGAAAAAGACCCAAAAATCGGGACTGTCCTATAAAATCGGGACATCTGGTCACCCTACTGTTAGCTAAGGCTGTAGAGCAGACTCATTTAACTCTCTCTCTCTCTCTCTAAGTGGTCTTGGTGCCACTAGATGGGACAGAACACCACACCCAGAAGGTGTGTGGGTTATACTAACACCACAATGGAATATTAAAACAGATGGATTTTTAAGATCATACGTAGCCATTATTATTTATGCCTGCATTTATTTGCCCTTCACTCAGCTTGGACAGTGAAATGAGGCAGGTCGGGGGGCAGGGGGGTTGGTTTGTGTGTTTTGTTTTTGTTTTTTGCTTTAAGGCTCTGATCCTACCTTGTGATCCATGGGAGTGGACGGCTGCATTGATGTGGAGCCCCATGGGCATCAGTGGAGCTCTTGCCTGGACATGGCAGTTTGCCTGCATGGATCACAATGCAGGATAAAAGCTTTAGTCAGGTTCAGGCACCAGCAAACAGCATTCCGCCCACCTTTTTTTTTTTTTTTTTTTTGCTTTGGCAGTTGCGCTCCCGGAGGTGCTTTTTGTTTTTTGCTTGGGGTGGCAAAATACCTAGAGCTGGCCCTGGTCAGGTTCACTTCCTGGCTATCAGACATTAGCACAGCGTTGCAATGTTTGTGTGGAAAACACTGTGGGTGAACTATCAGATCAAATAATTTTCGTTGACATCACAACAATATTAGATTTTGTAAGTTTTGTTTGTTTTAAAACATTTAAATGTTGGTCTCATCTCAACTTTCAGCAACTCCCTCCTGGGATTTGCTAAATAGGGAAGATACACTTATCCCAGCAAATATGTATCAGAACAAGGGCATGAAAACTTTATAAAAATGAGCCACAAGAACAATAGCAGATTTTGCAATCCTACAAGTTGTGCAGCTTTTGCATCTCCCGTAGAAGTTATTGAGACTTGAAGGCATTCTCTCCTCACAGAGCTGGAAGGTTTAACTTTAAAGCCAACTGAAGGTATTGAGAGGAGTTAATACTTCTCTTTGAGTGGCACAAACTGGTTGCTCTTGTCCTTACAATGTTGGCTCCTCGTCACAGGGAACACCCTGAATCTGTTTCCCAAAAAAAACTCATGGGTGCTTTTTCTCTGGAGGGTGGAATAAAAAATTTTCTTGTCCTCACCTGAGCAGGAAGAGGATTTTAGCAAAACATTCCAAAACACAAACCAAGGAATCCTTAAGTTACAATTCATGTTCCCCAGCCAGAAGTCCACCAAGGTTTTAGCCCCTGCATATGTAACTTAGCTGTCAGTATTCAGGAATGTAGAGAGATAAGGTGGATCAAGTAATATCTTTTATTCAACCAACTTCTGTTGGTGAGAGACAGAAGTTGGGCCAGTAAAAATATTACCTCACCCACCTTGTCTCTCTAATATCTTAGGATCCACATGGCTACAACAAGGCATACAGTATTCAGGAATCGACAATCAATAGCTTCCAACATTTGAACTTCCATTGTTGTATTCAGCGTTATTGTAGCCCTGTACGTCTTTTTTGTCCTATGACTACGGGTGTGTTAACAGGCAACTGCACTTCGAATGGTCCCTTAGAATATGTGCTAACTACTTATGCTAAACCATCTGTTCGACCTTGCATTTAGCGCCGCGGTGATGCTGGGAGTACCTTTCCCAGACCTGAAGAAGAACTCTATGTCGTTCAAAAGCTTGTCTCTCTCACCAACAGAAGTCAGTCTAATAAAAGATATTACCTCACCCACCTTGTCTGTCTGACATTTGAACTGTCATCCTCCCAAACAGGGGAGAGCTGTTTTTGTCTGCTCCCTCTCTGGTATTGATTGGCCCCACACTCTGCTTTCTTCAGAGGCCAGGTGAGTCTTGTTGGGGATTAAACCTGGACAATGGAAGTTAGGAGCCTAAATACCTTTGAGGCTCTGGGCCTTAACTCTTATCTTTTCTAGCCAATTAGTGGTAAGGCAACTCAACTGATTCCCAGGTGTCAAGAATCTCTAATGCTCATTTGCTTCCCAAAAGAGAGCGAGAAAGGAATTCAAACCAAGGTTGCAACATAGACAAAGTAGATATACTGTAATCACTGTGCTCTCCAATGAACTTGCACAGAAAAATGGTACAAAACAAAAACATCATATCACCTGTGGGTGAACACTTTCCACAAAGCTATAACCTCTAGCTGGCCTCTCAGTCCTGGTTCTCAAAGGAAATTTGCAGGACACCTTCAAAAGATGAGCCTGGGAGCTTAAATTCATAACTTTGCTAGATATTAAAAATCACAGACTGAATAGAGACACTAGATGTATGGGTTATTACAACAATCTGTAACCCACTAACAATGCCCTCCTGCCAAGCTGCTCCCCCCGCCCCCCTTTCTTTTCTCACTATGACT